CATTTTCCACGGTCGAAAACAATGAAGGCTGTGAGAGGAGTTGATTGGATCAGGTTTTTAGGCGAGAGTTGACAAGAATCATAGTGGTCAAAAGAAAAAGATGTATGTTTTCCCCCATATCCTCAAAACTATTTCAATCCACTAATTATTGTCTCGTTGTAGTGTTCAGATAGGTAACGCCACTGTTGCCAAGTTCCTGTTCAACAGTTCAAACCAAATTATATTCATACTGTGTCCACTCTAATCGCCATCCATGATTCAACTTAGTTAGGAGAACTCCAGGTGATTTAAGACACCATTCTGATAACGCTAACTACAGGTTAAGGTCTGCCATGTTGGACACTTCTGACATAACTATTCCAAAGAAAAGAGTGAGCTTTAGGTCGCCCAAATAATGAAATTTCAAGTACGCAAACCAAATTTTAATCTTGTTCATTCAACAAACAAAAATGTGGGCAGGTCTTAGGCATGCTAAATGAGAAACAGAGTTAATGGTTAAATTAAAAGTTCTAAAGCATAGTTGGTATAACCAGACAGGGAGTAGTTACCTGAGTTAGGTGACATCCAATAGAGTATTAATTCAAACTATACACCTAGACACTAGACTGTTGTGATGGTATCGTGGCCAGAGGGATTAATAAGTTACATGAATATAAACTTGTCTTACTGAAGCAATACCAACACATTGTAATGCTGTCTTACCGTAATAGTGTCCACAAGAGAAACCTTGTATCAAATAAATTATTATTAAGAAACTCAGTCAAGTCAAAGCAATGTCAAGTTTTCAACATTGATGTTCTTGGCAAAATGCCACCTGTGACATGTCCCTGTACTAATTGTAACTCGGGTTGGGTCAGGTCAGGAGAGCATTCAATCTGACAGCTTGTCCATCTACACGTTAATGGGAGAATAATTTATTGGAATACTACAAGAGTTACTAAATGTTGACTTGATTCTCCGTGTGACATCAACAACACAGGTAATAATGAAAGATATCGGAAGTACACACTTCAGCCTGTCAGTTAGGACGCAACATTTGTGTATGGGAAATTTTAAAACGCATATCAAGAAATCTATTTGTTCAATCTTTAGTACATAGACTGCTGGCCAATAAGAGAACCAACTCGGTAAAATATACGACATCCACTCTAAG